TACAGGGCATGCAATGTCATTTCTTGATATATGAGGTATTCAGCCCTTAATTTCCAGGTATTTTCAAGATATTTTACGAGCATTACTAAAAAGGAGAGGAGAAATAATATGCATAACACCTCCAAACCGTGTCCCAGTTAACAAAACCCCTTCAAGTTTTACCATTAACAGACAAAATTAAAGCAAGGGCAAAGGCACCTAAAAATATTCTTGCATGTAAAAACTATTATGTCTTATGGGTGACCTAGTAAAAGGGCTCTGGAAGATTTTATTTTTCTGCATTGTAATTCTAATACATGTCTACCTTTATAGCCTGGGTGGAGAGCTAAGACACGAAAGGTACTGCGAGAAGGGAGAACGTGACGTGCATTTTCTGTGTATTGCTTAGGATCACTCTAAGATGCAGTTGTGAGACTGCATGATTTCTTAATTTCTGGTACAGCATTAAGAAACCTCTGCTGCAGTTTCACAAGACAGCCAGGGGTCAATATCTTCCAAGGCTGCTGAAATAACCATTAATTTTCCAGCATGGAAAATGGGCTGGAGCCAGAGCGAAAGTTTAAGAGTAACATTCTAAGTGCAGGTATTGCGTGTGAAACAAGAGCCTCTGGTTCAACTGAAGTTTTAGAGAGCACAATAAGCATTTTTCAAAAGTGGTAAGTTTTATGTCTCTCAGAAGCAGCAAACAGGACTGGTCTGAGCACTTGCTATTGGGAAATCAATAGCAATTGGGAAGGATAGAAGAGAAAGGTGCAGAATGAGCGAGGGACGAGGAGAGAAGTCAGAAGAATCCCCTTGATGAGACAATGGCAGAAAGGCCTTATAGGAAGAGGCATTAAAAAGCTCTACCTGTCCAGGTGCACGGAAAGAAAGCAACCTTTGGGAAGGCAGGGCAGAGAGAACAGATGCCCTCCATCAGTCATACTACATACATCAGTATCTTTCTTGATGCTTGCACTACTTCTGGGCAGCCAGAGGGAACTGGAAGTATATTCTTCCCCATCTGTTTCTCACTGCTCTGCTCTGTACCAGACGATGGTTTGGACTATCAGAAGACAGAAAGACAAACTTGTTTCCTCCTCCTTCTCCCAAGATCTTGATAAGACTAGAAAGATTGCAGAGGCAGAATTCTTCAGGGTTGTGTTTCGGGGTTTTTTTTAGTTTCTTTTAATCTTCAAGTTTTCAGAGCTCCAGCAGGTATTTCTACTGTGTGGCAGCAGAGCAATTAAAAAAAGCCTACTTCCAGATCGTGAGTAGATAGCACACTGCATCCTGGCTAGTGCTTGGCAGGATCATCTTTCCCCTTT